TAAAAAATAAAGGAAGATGCTTTCATTTCCTGCATAATCAGATGACCATGAAGTAGAAGCAGAAGGCTGGATAAAGTATGTTCTATATGGAAGCCTGCAGTAAATTCTCATTAATTATCTATCATTTAATTTCTAGGCAACTGGACCATTAGTTCCACAACATAAATCAATTCTGCCCAATTACTGAGACTGTTATTAAACCAGAAGTATCTAGCCAAATGCTTAATCTAATTGAGACTTCAGTGTTACCACTGAACCACAAAGGTACTTTTTCTATTTAATTATAATTCAAATGGACATGGAATTTCTAAGACAAAATATAAAGAAAGGCAAGGATGCAGAGGAATTGGAACACTCAAACGTTGCTTGTGGGAATGTAAAATGGTGCAGCCATTGTGAAAAAGTTTGGCAGTTTCTTACAAAGTGAAATAATACATTTACCATACGACCAGCAAATTCTACTCCTAGGAACCTACCCAAGAGAAAGAAAAGCACATGTCCTGTTAAAATAAACAAGAGATACTGAGGTGGCTCTAATCTAAGCAGCTCTTTTGTTCCTTTTCTGTCTGTTCATCTCTGTTTCCCTCAAGCCTTGATCATAAAATTGAAATCACTACGCAACATTTAACCTAACTCCTGATTTTTGCTTTACTGAATGTACACAATGCCTTGCCTAAGCTGTCGATTCCTTTCCTGGATTACAAGTAGTAAGAATGAAGAATTAACTAGTTAAAGAATGACGGCTTTCTACCCCTACCTTCCCCTTAATAAATTTGCAGGCAGACCCCATGGGCAAGAGAGTATCTAACTGCAAGTGGACCATGCAGGCAAGACAGCATCCAGAGAAAGACCAGAAGTCAGCAGGTCTGCACACAGTGGGAAAATGACAAAGAATCTGATCTCTCACCTTAATGATGAACTAGAATTATTTCCCCTTTTCCCTTTAAAAATTGTCATGGCTGAGCAGGATCTTTGGAGGTGGTCTCAAGACATGAGTCCACCTTCTCCCCAGATTGGCAGCTTTTCTGAATAAAGCAACTTTTCCTTCTACCAACACTTGCCTCTCAATTATTGGCTTCTGAGTGGTGAACCACTGAACCTGAGTTCAGTAACACTAATGCTTTAGCAGCCTATGTAAGAAAACAAAAAGCTACGCCTATAATACCTCAAAGATAAGAAATCAAACCCTAAGGACAGGTGATTATAAACAGCTAACGAGCCTTTCCCAAACAAGGCAAACGCTTACGCTATAGCTACTCAGATCATTTCCCTGCTTTGCTTCTGGCTTTTCTCTATAAAACTTTCTCCCAGCTCCTGTTGGTGGAGTCTCCTAACCGCTTCCGGTTTGGTATGGCCCAATTTGAATCAATTTTTGCACAAATAAACTCTTAAAAATTTAATATACCTCAGTTTCTCTTTTAATAGTCCATATAAAGCATGTATGTTCATAGAAACATTCAAAATAGGCAAAAAAAAAAAAGGAAACATTCCGAATGTCACCCATGGTGAGTTGATAAAACAAAATGCAGCACATGCTGCAACATGCAACTACCGATAGATGCTGTGTAATGGATAGACCCAAAACACATCAGGCTAAGCGAAAGAAGTCAGACACAGAAGACTGTATATTGTAACATCCCACCTATATGAACTGTCCAGAAAAGGTAATTTACAGAGACAAAAAGATCAGGGTTGCCAAAGGCTGGAGACAGCAAAAAGGACTGACGGCAAAGAGGCCCTAGGGATCTTGATGGGGGGATGGAAGATCCAAAACTGTACTGTGGTGATGACTGCTGCTATGGTATATGTTAGGGCAGGCAGACAGCTAGATACAAGCAGAGAAAGGGGACGCAGGCCAAATGGCAGGAACTGGGCAAAAAAAAAAGAGGGGCACGGACCAAATGCAAAAAACCCTACATCATGTAAGCACCAAGGGCTCCCTGGGCAGAGAAAGAAAAGCAGGAACCTCTGGACTGATAAGAAATTACACAGTTTGGGGTGACAAGTGGCCTGAAGGGAAAAGGCAAGAGTCTCTAGTGTCCGAATGCAAGCTTTTGCTCATTATGCCCTCATTTCAGTAAAATTAGCCTTGCAGATTAGAAGCACCCATCATGCACCAAGGCCATGACACTTCCAATCCATGCTAAATAAGGACAAAAATCCCTCTTCCCTTTGGGAAGGTGGAGCTGGGGTGAAAATCAGGGAATAGGATCCCAAACCCTTCCCTCCCCAATGAATATTCTGCTCATTCATTTTCACACCTTATTTAACCAACTTGCCAAAGAAACTCAGGCTAGCTGCTCACCTGAGTCTGCCCGCTCTCCCCTTGAGAGTGTATTGTCTACTCCTTAATAAATCCTCACTTTAATTTCTTAACCTCTGCATCCTGGCTCTGAATTCTTTCTGGGATGGGACAAGACCCTGGACACTGGTTCCATCTCCCAGCAACAGCACCATCCCTCCCTGTGGGGATCTGGCTGCCCTCCACTTTCAGCTGGTCGCACAGCACCTGCAGAGCCACAGCACGGGCGGTGGGCAGGCCTCTGCGAGACCCAGGCTGCCTCACACGTGCTGCCACAGAGGCAAGAAGAAGGGGTGCGCTCTGCTCACATCCCTACATCCAGGGCATGGGGAGCAACCACGCCTGACCTCATAGGGTGAAGGAATAGGAAACAAACTGCCTTCCCTGATGCTGATTCTTTCTGACTAAGAAATGCTGTAATCTGCTTTCCCTCCCTTACTGCTTTTTATGCTGAACAACTCCCAAACATTCAATAGTTTTAACCAGAAAGGAGACAATGGGCTGATAATCTCAGAAGAAGGACAGACCCTCCGAAACTCCTCCATGAAGGAAGAGCCACTGGGGTTAAGAGGAGCGCACTGCCCTGTAAACCGCCCTGGTCGTTATCACTTTTTGGTTCCATCCAGTTTTTCTATAAAACCTCAAGGCTCCAACCCCAAGATGGACTCAGTCTCTAAGGCAAGAGCCCACTGTCGCTCCCCTTTGCCTGGCAAAGCAATAAAGCTGTTTGTCCTTTTTCTCCCAACACTCTGTCTCCGAGTCTCAATCTGGCTTTCGGGGTGCAGAGGCCAGTTTTGCAGCAGCAAGGGGAGGGCGGGCGGTCCACCAAGAACCAAAGGACCAGGCTGCATTCACAAGGAAGGCAGAGGGACAAAGGCCCACCACCTGCAAAGGGGCCAGAACACCCTCTTCCTAGGAGACAAGGGAGGGTAGAAGCAGGACCGACCTGGCAGGCAGTGCAGGAAGTAGAGCCCTGTTACTAACCTGTGGTCCAACAGGACCCAGTGCAGGAAAACAGGAGCTGGCCCAGGTCCCACAGCTGGACATGGCGGGCCAGGGTGGCACCTCCAGGGACAGCCAGTCCATGCCCCGCCCACACCGCCCTGTTTGTCTCTCACAACAAACTGAAGAGCTCTCTAAGTTTTGCAGACGAAGAAAGTGAAATGCAGAGAGGTACTGAGATTTACTTAGCACCACAAAGCCCACGTTCACCCCACAACGTCACGGCAGTGAGAAGGGACTGGTACACGGCTTTCAACTGGATGCAGCCTGGGGGTGCCGAAATGCCTATGATACACAGGGCT